ATGCGAAACAGTCATCGAAAATGTTGATCAAACTTAGATTCAACCATCAATGAGAACATCAAGAAAAATGCCATGCGACGTGGATGTTCCTAATGACACTACCAATAGTATATTGGCTATTTCAAAAAGCGCTGGAGACGTTATCTGGAAGGAGAATCTTTGATGTAAAAACGCTATTTACGGATGTGTGTAGAATGGCACTGCATACTACTAGCATGTGCTCATTCTACAATTTTATTTTCGTAAAAGAAATACGACAAGGACTCTCTGGAAGTTTTGAATTTCAATGTACAATGTGTAAATTGAAAATGAGATTCCGAACTGAGGACGAAAAAGACGAACACGGAGTGCATTCAGCCAACTACTCTGCGCTATCTGATGCCCTTTCAATAGGAATTGGCAAAACCCAGACATCAGAGTTTTTAGGTGCACTTGGCATTCCTTTCCTTTCTCAAAAGACAGTGCATAAATATGAAAAACGTGTCAGTAAGCTATGGTTGGAAACAGCGATGGATAACATGAAAATGGCCGCTGAAGAAGAAAAAGAACTGGCCATTCTAGAGAACAGATTTGACGCAAATGGAATTCCAGAAATTATGGTACCTGCTGACGGAGGTCAAAATCGTATGGTCAAAATGATCGTATGGTCACAATTATTCCTCTTTCTCCTGATAACGCGAAAAGTGTTATTCCTGGGCGTACGAAATCGATTTTGCTCGGTCTGTGCGTACGCAAAACGCAACAAGAAAGCTCCCAAAGATCATCCCTGTTGTCTAAATTGGGATGAAAGTCTAGCAGCAATGGAGGCGGACCTCCTCGTTGAAGGCTTCTCGGCATGTATTGAAACACATGGTTTGAAGTATTCTTACTTAGTCGGTGACGGCGGTGACCCTCTAGAAAAACGTCCACATTTACTAACGGATCTTCCTGAAACTTCACACATATATGTAAAAAAATACAAGAACATTTTGTTCGTATGATTTTTTCGGAAAAATTAATAGAAAACGTGAAATTCATAGAAAACCGACAAAAAGGGGGTACTGTAGAAATCTATCTCCTCCTAGGGTTTTCAAGCTGCAACATTGAGACGCATTTGACAACATTGAGACGTTTTTTTGTTACACGCATTTTTTCCGTTTTCTTCTCATTTTCTTCAAATTTTCCCCCCTCCCGCTATTTTGAATCCAAACTATGCACAAATCTAAAAAAGGGCTCGATAACTCGATAGATATGGTCTTTACGAATCGAACGGTATATGTCTCATCGCTGTAGCTTCAAAACTCTAGGAGGAGATAGGTTTGCCGTGACAATAAGTGTGAATGTTCAGCAGAGCGCGACAAAGTCCCGCGCGCCTCGCAATAGGCACTCAAAGTAGCAAGGATACGAAACTAAACGTTTCTGGAGCTTGATTCTACTCAAGGATGGTGGGAGCGACTACATGCACACCTCCTCATACAACGCCAGGCGGGTTACTGAGCTGCACCTCAAGAAAACACTGTATTTATAGTGCTGGGCAGCGAATCAGCTCCTATCTAATTTGTTAAAGAACTCCCCCACCCGCCTCTTTCATGATCTGTCGTGAAAGCATAAATGAACGTACAGAGATGGCAATGGTACCGTTGGATAGGGCAGAATGTCAGCTTTAAGATGAGACTAAAAACCGGAAAAGCCTAATCCGAAAATTTTAGGGTATACCCCCCCTTAAAAAAATTTAATGTCAAAATCACATCGTAAGGAATTTTCAGAAACATTTGAAAGAAGATGTTTATAAATCTAGAGGAGCCGCCAAACTCTGTTCCGCAGATCAAAGACAATTAGTCCAAGGACGCGTGCACCGCTTGGTCAGTGCCATAACGGGTGAAATCAAACATCACCAAAGTCTGAGTGATAAAACTGAAGTGGAAAGAATCAGCGGATTGCGTAAAGACATTTTGAACAGCGCTAAACACGTTTTCGGAGATCATGCGATGTGTTAAATAACCGGCAATTATTTTTGTAAAAACCAAAGTGACTATAATTACTGTCCTGATCTCGAAAAACCTGGAATTTTTCAGGCTATAATGAAAATACTAAATAGAGTGAAGGACCATTCAGAGAGTCTACTGCATGATTTGGACAGTAACCGTGTATAACATTATATATATAACAGCCGAGTTTCCAAATTCATTGGTGTTAAAAGAATAAATTTCAGCTCGACGAACAGCTTCGAAACCAGAGCATTTGGTGCAGTAATCGCCCACAACAATGGTCAATTACATTCACAAATAAGTGAGAAACTCCCGCGAAAATCTCCAAAGAAGCTAATTGTGAAAATCGAAGCTCAGCGAGCACATCAAAATGCAAGTGCTAGAAAGCGGCTTTAGCGAACATAAGCGTAAATTAAGTAGAAAAAAATCCCTCTTAGTTACCACTACGAAAGCGATGGCTTTGCATCTGTCACGGAAGAAGCAAAATTGAGCTTTTTGAAGACGTTGTCCTTGGACGATGATCAAATTAAAATCCTCGAACCCTCAACTGTTGAACAAAGTAATTCCCTGTTGTGGCACGAAGAGAGAAGAAAGAGGCTGATTGCATCAAACTTCGGTATTGTGTGTAAACTGAGAAGAAATACGACGAATAAGGGTACTGTGGCCTGCAGGCTGGTTAATAATATAACTAGTTCGCTCCCTGCTGCGGTTTGGGTCAGAGAGAAGGAAAAAATAGCAGGGAATATGTTGCAAGAAAAAATGTCAATTACAATTAGAGGCTGTGGTCTTTTTGTGGATAAAGTCTCTCCATTTTTGGGTGCTTCGACCGATGGTCTCGTAGACAATGACTACATTGTTGAAATTAGTGCCCGAGCTCTGCGCGTCATTTCATAACAATTAAAGATGCTATCCGCGAAAAGAAATGCGACCGTTTGAAACTAGTTGATGACCAAATTACTGTGAACAGACGACATTCATACTTCTATCAAGTTCAAGGACAACTGAGGGTTACAGGGAGAAGCAAGTGCATTTTCGTGACGCGGATCCCCGAAGATTTGCATATTGAACATATTGAAATGGAAGAAACGTTTTGGCGAGAACGCATGGAAGAGCATCTTAAATCATTTTACATGCAAAACCTGTTACCTCGTATCGTCAATAACAGGTAAAAATTAAACAGCTAGTATACGCGTCTTGTGTTTTGTTCAATATTAACTGACTTTTATTATGTAAATAATCTAAATTTGAAATCGTCATTTGTTAATATATGATACTAGTTTTACTTCTATCAGTTGCATATTCATTGCATGAATTACTCATGAATAAAATGCATATCTTTAAAATAGAGTACAATGGTGAGAATAATCATGTCATAAAATTTTGAAAATATTATATTATGAAATACCAAACGAAATAAAGATTTGCGCTCCACTTCTACATCATCGATTAATTTTTTGCAAATAATCGTTCTTGTGATCTTTCGAATAACAACTGTCAGATAATTCCATTAAAACTTATATAAGAATCAGAATTAAAAAATTGTAGTACATTGTACATGGTTTAGTGATTACCAGTATAAGTTTTTATGTTTAGTTGCGTTTTTTTAACCTTTTCGCTGCTTACTTTACTATAAAACTTATTTACTATATAACTTATATGTATATGTATAATAGTAACACATTGCCGATCACACCAGGTGTACGAGTATGGCAACATTTGCCAGATTATTTATTTTTTTGATAAAATTTGTTGGGCAAGAAACTCTACAAGCCGTGCTTCACTTTCCCAAAACTGTTTAAAACAATTTTGGGAAAGTAAAAAGTGGCGTGATAAATATCTTCCATGAACACGAAGAAGTGATCGTGCCACTTAGTGGTGTCACTGACTAAGAATCACAGATCTAAGGTCTAGACACTAGAAGATCAGGAAAATAATATCTATCATGATAAAGAACTTTCGCCCTGGAGACAAACCTTGAAATTGGGCGTCCAGTTTTGCGGAGGCGCTGCAGAGAGGAAGAACTTGCAGATCACAGCCGTGTATTGCTTTTACCATCGCAGGAATGAGCTCCCGTGTGCACCTCTTTGCAATGAATCTGAGGTGACTCGATCATTTCAAGGTGGTGAGGAGTTTCTCGCTTATTTTGATTGCGATTTGGGTGGGGCGTGCATTATTACCCACAATTCTGAATTTCCTTCGTATGCTCTTTGTATTCAACGAGTTACAGAAACATACATTGATAGTAAATCACGTATAAATTCAATTGTCCCTCCCTTCCTCTCACTGCAGAGGAAGGGGGTGATTTTTTAATCACGTAGTCAGACTCGGCCAGAGCTTCCCCGGATACGGGGCCGACCTCAATACGAACCGCTCAACGGCCGCCAGAGTAAGGACCAGGCTCTCGTAGCTGTCTGATTTGGGATTGGAATGTAGACCAAAAAGCGGACATAGAGAAGCTGATTTACTATGATCGCCGAGTCCTAGGCTTTCCTTAATTCAGAGCCGCCTTCGGCTCTAAATTTTGTTATGGGATATGATCTAAAGGCTTTTTGAAATTTGAACTTGAAATATAATATTCCTAAACATGGTTACAAAATCTTGTTAATGCACATATCTCGTATGATTTAACATATACATTACACTGGTGTTCGTGATGTTTTTGCTAGGATCTTTTTCGACATTATGCAAGGAAGACAGAAAATATTGAGAGTTACGCCTCAACATTATATGTGGTGTAGTGCTTCCTACAATAATCCTACTACTCCATCACTTGTACAATATAATTTTTGTAAAATTCTACGACTAGAACACACTATATCTAAATGGGTGGATTTCAATAAGCTAGGCTCACATGGCTGTGATGATCATTGTGATGAAGTGCACCAACACTTGTGCCTTTCTGAGGTTCCATAAGGTTGGCAAGTATTTGATTTGTGCGTATGGCGAAGAATTTCGTATTTTACTGTTCTTGTACTCGACAATATTGTACTAAAAGCTCAATGCTTCCTTCAAATACAAAACAGTTCGAGATCATCACACGAGACAGAAGAGGCTGTATTCCGAAGATTCATCCACCTTATCGCATGGAAAGTCGAACGTTACCATAGGAGTGTCCCCCATACCCATGCACTTCTCTTGACCTCCGTGTGGGTTGTTGGGGTACCAATGGAAGTCAAAATAGCTCGGCAGGACCATTCCTAAATTACTTGAAGCGTAACTCCCGTCCTCGTGGCGCTGTAGGTCTACGAAGAACCATGGGTTATGTCTGATGGTCAGAGCGGCGTGTTCCTGAATGTAGAAATAGATTGAATGCATCACGTCACGATAATCTTCGTTAACTTGTATAAACTGATAGATGAACCACATTAACATGAAGATATATTTACTTAACTTTGGCTGCCTTGCGATTCCAAGTGAATAATTTTCAACCAAGGATCACAAATTTCTCTCTGATGGAATCAACGGTGACAAAATATGTAAAAAATTAGGCGTTCCCATGTAAATATTCAGGAGCTTATGAAATGATTTCCTTAGTCTTTAGTTTACTTTATGGTTATCTTGCAACATGTAAAGGACTCTGGAACGCAGGATTACCCATATTGTTATGATTGGGAATCATGAGGAAAACGAAGCGCACCGCATTTCACCTCATGGTATCAACTTATACTTGGAAGCGTCTTCAGGGAATTTTGTTGGCCAAAAATTTAGGGTTGGTTTTATTAAAGTTATTAAAGTTGACAGAAGAAATACCCTAATTTGGTCTATTTAAACAGAAATATATTACAATTTTTTTCTGATCCTCGAATTACAAACTTGCAAATAGATTGATAAGCAAAAATGTTTCAGTCAAATATTGAATGCCCAGCATGATGCATCGTTCCTTTATATATTTGCTAGCATTGTTGATAGTATTAAAGTATTAGCATATTCATACCTTACTGGTTGTGGGATGCGTGACGAGTATAGCGCCTTTGTCGGCGCACTTCTGGAACGCCTGTCTGCAAAAAAAGGACGAAAAAAATACGTAAAGTCATCGTAAAAGCTTTTTACTCCTTGTGTAGCTGCTACTTTCATAAGTTATTCAGAATTTTTAAGTCCAATAAAAACTCATTATAAATTGCTCCATTAATCATTATGTGGCTCGTTATTCTTAATTGAACTGATAAATTCGCTGAAATCATGGACGCATACATTATAATACAATCCTCAATTCATTTCAAGAAATGTTGGCAAAAGGGAAAGCTTCCGTCTAACTCCAGCCACAGCATGTCATAAAAGCAAGGAAACTAAAAGCTTCAGCAGTGATTGAATAGAGTATGATTTATTTTTGAATTAGAACTTGTTGTTCCTTAGTAGCCAGAACTCACTGCCAAGAGAGGTGCAAAGGAGCCGGGATCTCGACCAATGTCTTATTTCCGGCATATTTGTTGTAGATATAAGCCTGTGAGACGAACGCCCTAGCAGCGCCTGGTACGGCCGAGTCCACAACAAACCGGCATGGCACTTGCTGGTTACATGTTAGGCAGAGAAAACGGTAGTCAGACATTGTGGTGCCTGCGATGAGCTTAAGAAAGTCCTGCCTAAAGAGATGGATTGTTTACCATCGTGTATCAACTTGTTATTGCCAGGTCACTATACTATGTAAAATGAGATTTTATTAGAAGTCTATCACAACTGAAATGATGTAGTGAACTGCAGATGGAATTTTTCATAGTAGAAAATGATATGAATGTAACTAGCGATGATGAATTGTGTATGCGGTTGCTCATTTTGATTTCTTTTTTAGTATCTGTGGGGGGAAAATTGTCAAAAATTTTAGACCAAGTTAAACCACACTGATTAATTTCAAATTCGTTTAAATTCGGTCCTTCATCCGTGAATTATACATATTCACCAATAGTTTGGACTGCATTCTGCGGCACATACAATTTATTTAGCCTTTTTAAGCTTTAAAAGTTGTGATAGCATTTTTGGATCATGATTTTCTTACAAAAATATTCAGTTCATGAACACAAGCTGTAAGCGCGACGGTGACTTCCGAACGCTCTTAGAATAGAAGTGTCGGCGTTGAAGAAATAGGCCCATGGCCTGTTGCCGATTCTTGAACTGTTCGTGACTTGATTCACAAGGGATCCGGCCTTTGGAACCCGATCTTTCCATAACTGACGATTGATTGAGATAGCTGCTGGATAGTCAGCGATAGTCAGACAACAAAACTTTAACCGTGCAGGGAAGTGAACTTGCAGGATTTCTGACACTTTATTGGTAACGAAGGCACTGGTGGATACTGATGAATGTATAGAAGCAACAACAAAAAATGAACTCAAAATAAACTCGTAATGAACCCAAAAAACCCAGCGGATGGCTCGTGCTGAAGCTAATTAATCGAAAAATGGATACAAATTTAGCAGAACAAATACAAGAATAACTGTTGAATGATCGCAAAAAAAATTACAAGGAAAATCGCGATACAAAAATTAGAGACGCATGAGGCGCGGCTACAAAGTGACCAACTCAATTCACGATCCCATTAGCCAGTGTTAAGCCCACTCCAATGAGGCTGCCGTTACGCTAGAATTTAGTTTCCTTTACAAAAATTGAAATAGAATATTAACTAAACCTTCAAAGTTTATATAATAATATCTGGCTCTATTCCTGTTTACCTCCTCTGTGTCCCAGGAAAACCCCCCACAACGGAGGTCATCAGTACACGCTGAGCCACATATGTTGACGTCAGATATGGGATGATCTGGACTCAGCAGAGACAACACTGAATAAATTCCGGTGACCAGTCGAAAGCCAGAAGGCAGGGCAGAAGCTTGGTTAATCCGAGGAAATTTCTGAAAAAAAATATTTGAAAAAAAATTATTGCAGTGAGAGAATTACTATAGGTTTCTGAAGAAGTTAACACGGAATCAGGTAGAGCAGACTGTTTTGACGATGAATGCGAATTTAACTCAAGGTGAGACTCATTGGCGTACCTAATTGAAATAAGATTATGAAGGATGACTTCATTTTAGGGCATCATTCATATATATTTATTATTTGATGTCAATGACAATATATATTAAAAAGTTCGCTATTTATGGCCTCAACTGGTAGTTAGTTAACCGCTTCACACGGCAGATTAATGAGATGAGGCTTGTATCACGCGCATATATTCTGTTTCCTCCTGACGAGCCTGCCACGTCAAGCACACTACACTTGCCTGCAGCGTGCACACTAACCCCCTGACGAGCCTGCCATGTCAAGCACACTACACTTGCCTGCAGCGTGCAGACTAACCCCCTGAGGAGCCTGCCATGTCAAGCACACTACACTTGCCTGCAGCGTCCAGACTAACCCCCCTGACGAGCCTGCCTCGACCAGCACACTACACTTGCCTGCAGCGTCCAGACTAACCCCCTGACGAGCCTGCCTCGACCAGCACACTACACTTGCCTGCAGCGTCCAGACTAACCCCCTGACGAGCCTGCCTCGACCAGCACACTACATTTGCCTGCAGAGTGCAGACTAACCCCCTGACGAGCCTGCCTGGTCAAGCACACTACACTTGCCTGCAGCGGACAGACTAACCCCCTGACGAGCCTGCCTGGTCAAGCACACTACACTTGCCTGCAGCGTGCAGACTAACCCCCTGACGAGCCTGCCTGGTCAAGCACACTACACTTGCCTGCAGCGTGCAGACTAACACTAAGCGCGAAATGTTCTTGAGTGTACCTCAGTTACCGAAGGATTGTGCTGCATGAAATTCCCGAGTCCAACAACGAACATTAGAGATGAAAAAGTGGGAATAAAAGTCAATTGATTAATCACTATGGAACATTTTATATGATTTGAAGGTAACATTTTTTCAGAAAATAAACGGCTTCTCGACAACTATAATGAATACGAGAACATCATCAAGCAGCATTACTGACTAAAAAATTATTTTACACTGGCATTGTCATGTAACCTAAGTTTCTCTGACGTCTTAATAAATAGTCTTTTCCATTTACCAACGCATGGGCGATAACAACATTTGTTCGATAATTGATCACAGCAGAACACGCGCCAACATCAAAGTATTTCCAAGAACAATAATGCGATTGTTCCTCTTCGTGCAGCCTAATATTGAATTGCAATCAGGTTGGAATGCAGTACTGAGGTGGACGGGTATCGACTATAAATATCTTCTTTCGATGCATTGTCTAATTACTTATTTTTAAAGAAATATACGTATAAATAATTTGATGTAATAATTTCAAACTAGTATCCACACAAATCGTGTACGCATGTTTTTGAAGCGACATTTCTTGTATCAGGAAAATCTAGGCAGACTAATTTTCACTGTCACTCAAATTTTCAACCGAATTGAAAAGTTCCATCAGTTCTCCGTCCAACTGCTTGATCCCTGCTCCGCAACGGCTGTATATATGGGCCCGTAGGTTACATGCGACAGTGAATCTTATTCTCTTCAACGTTGTCGGGTTTCTAGATGCCAAAATTCCATTAAATAAAACGTCCTTTGCCGTGGTTCTCTTTTGATCAGTTGCCTTACATGATTTAACTGACTTAGGTGGAAGACATCATGAGCCGTGAATGATGGCTATAAGATTAACTGCTTTAAAGTCGGGGCCATCTCTACTGCCACGTACAGTTTCAATTATTATTAATGTTAGATAGCAAAATACGCTTTATTCAAACACGGGTCGTTAATGGCCAGATAATTTATTGATTTAAATTTTTAGGGTCGAACAATATTCTTCAGATGACATTGGTTGACCAAAATGCTGGTTTGAGGAATAAATACTAATTATTAACTACGTTTTGACTGTAACAAAATTCATTTTCAAGTTATAGGAAGCATTGGGTACAGGAATTTTGTGGCAATAAGTACATGACACACGTAAGTATGAAACACGAAAATTGGAACAGTGAAAATTATACCGAAACAATATCAAAGCTCAGAAAATCCGGTAGTTGTGAAGTGGATAGCTGGAGTCCATTACTTTGAGATAAGGGCTTTATGCAGCTATCGGAGGTCGGATGAGGTCGGGCCACAGCAAGAAGACGTTGCTGGTGGGTTCCTATCTTCATCAAATTATCTCCAATGTTTGATAACAGTGATAAATTTATGGCCTGCTGCTGTAGCTGTTTCTGCACTGCTGCTGCTGCTGCTACTGCTTTAGTGTTTCTACACTACTGCTGTTTCTGCAGTGTTGCTGCTGCTGTTTCTGCACAGCTGCTGGTGAAAACACACTCGCAAATGAAAATACACAGGCACAAACTCAAATTAAGGTATAGAAATGCAGGATTGAACGCGATTCGTAATACGGTTTGAACAGGACGGCTTCACACAGGTAAGGTCCAAGTAATAATAATCACGTTCGAGCTAATGAGCATCAACTTCGCCTCCTAACATGAGACTTACGCTAAGCGTATAAACAATAATGACATAAGTAGATACTAAATTTTAACAGCCGCGCTGCGCGTTTAGTTTGAAGCCGCAGCGCAACTCAAACAGGACTGAAGATAAAAAGTGAGGCATCTTTCTTGGAAATATGCCTACTAATTTTTTTTCTGTTAACTAATAGGGAGCCATGTTCACAATGAGAGGTGTTTTTAACGTTATCAGCCATTCCGTAGTTCTGGAGTGTTATCATGCCGCGAGGTTTCTGTTCATGACCAGCTGTCACAGCAATGTTTCTTGGCGGACAAATTATTGATGTTTGCTAATTATTCGGAATTTAATCCATGTACAGTTGGCATGTCAGCAAATTCTTTCCCATATTTTAGTATACTTCCGGTCTTTTTGAATTATTTCGGTGGATTTTTATGCAATTCATGTATCGCAAAGCACGCAGGCGCAAAACCGGAAGTTATTATAAATTTTTGGTCAGAAATTCTTATCAAGATGAATATGAGTCACAAAATATTATGCTATGTAGGTCGTACGTATATAAAATTTATTATACATACGCTTTAGGATATTTTGCACCTAGCTTGATACGGTTCCATAGCTATTCCTTGTGGCATCATACCAGACTCGTCTGCGCTGCAGGCTTCATGAAGCACGGGATTGCAATTGGCTACTCACCTTCGATCTCCAACTAGTAACTATTGCAACGGAGATACTTTTACGACAAGTCTATTTTTTAGCGTTTCAATTACTTTGACATTTTCAATTATGGCATATTCCAGCGAATTTATACGTGTCTAAAACAAAAATTGATCATTGAAATTATCGGCGTTCAGGTAAAGCTCTGACTTAGAATAATCTGTTTAGAATTATGAGGAAAGAAAGATACTGCTTCCATCATATGTCTCAGTAATTTGCATATATTAGGGCGACGCAATAATTACGCACTTATTAATAACATATTAAAGCTCAATTGTTCACCTCCTGCTGGGGAGGCCCGCCATCGCGGGACCCCGCAGACGTGGCAAGTTCCACGATGCACTGTCGATAAGCCTTCAGGTCCTCGACAACATTCACAACTTCAGTCCTCAAAACATCTGCAAGATCCTGAAGTTTCTCGTAAGTTCGTTGCTGTTGAGGGTCAAACTTATCGTTGTTGATTCCACCGTCGCTGGGAGGATTGCCGATGACATTTAGCACATTTTCGACGCTGGAAAGACTTCCACCAACGGACGGTGAGCCATCGGCCTCCGTAAACAGGACAGTCAGACCCAGAATGTACAGGAAAACGAGACAATCCCTCGGTGTAGACATTGCACATTCTTTTGTCCTTACTTCGTGGCGTGTATCACTGTCCTCACACGCCGATCAACACACTTCAAGTCTCTATACTCATAAGACGATGTACTAACTTCGAGTCACTGTACTGACGAGCAGATGTACTGACTGCAAGAACACCAAACCAAGCACTGGAGGTTGGCATCTTCTGCGCCCCCGAGCTCACACAGATCCGGAACCGCCCCCTTGATTGCACTATGTTAAACTGAAGCAGAAACCATCTGCATGGAGGGCACCGCTGCTGCACCATTGTGACCAAGTTGAATGTTGTGATATCGATGCTTGTTGGGCAGAGGTGTCAATATATTACTTGCATTTATTGTATGTTGCTGATATTGGTCTGGTATGTACTCTTTCATTTTTTTTGGTGCCCAAGTTCGAAGTCCATATTTTTAGGATAGAAACCAGTTACTGAGATGAGGATACGGAGGGTTTGTTCAGTAATGATTCAGAGAAAACTAATCGCTGTTGACGAGTACACCTCCGGGCGCGATAGGGAGAGCGTGCATGCGAACGAGAGGGTAGGTCTTCATTTATTTGATTAATAAATTGAGCTTCAGAAGTGAATAATACTAATTTGGTTCGAAAATGTTATCGTATTTTAAATTTTTCATTCCATGAATTTGTAAATTAATGAAATAGAAAGAAATTAAAAATTTGAGATGAAATCGCAAACTTATTCTCCGGATTGTTTTTAAGACAAGACTGTAATTTTGAATAGGTTCTTGCAGCCAATTTTTTGCTGTTCACTAAACTATTGCTCCTAATTCCGGGTTCTAGCTGCCATATGAGATCACTAAATCTAAAAAACTTTCGTTCACGCGACAATCGGGCATTGTTAGATATTCAATATTGATCAATATGTTCAGACATGCTTCCGGTACGAGCGATCTGTCTCTAATAACATAGCATTGCATTAAAACAATATTATTTACATTAATTATCCCTGTAGCTCGTATTTCCTTGCAAGTACACTGTGCTGGGAATTCATTTCATAAATCATTGGAAACATTAATCGCTTAGCCGATTCAGCAGGCAATCGCCTAACGCGCAGGGCGTAGAAGCAAGCGGTGCTCATTATTCATGTCTGTATGCTGCGCAGATGAACAAACCCCGACGGCCTGCGCAGGTTCTAGACTTTCGGAAATTCCTTGCCACCAACTGTCATAATCGGCGTTCTCGATATCGTTGTCGCTCACACCTCTCACAAAAATTAGTGAGACTATTTGTGCAACTAGTGAATCAGTTTCTGTCCTTGTATGGGTCATTCTGACCCAAATTGGCCCGGCAAAAGGTGTATCAGTGCTGCGTACAAATGGGTCACAATTTGTCTCGTCCCTTTTCCCGAGTTCGGGGTTACCGAAGACGTCCAACGCCTTTGCCGTCACAACTCACTCTTGGCGTCCAACGAAATCTAGAACGTTGGACGTCTTGAATGTCTTGAGCGATTACGTCCAAGATATATTACGTCCAAAGAAGCAAAGGAATAAGGCACTAACTTCAATTAATGTAAAGTTGACTTGTCACTATCTTCTTTTTTTTTGTCTCTTCGAACTTTTATCTATCTAACCTTTGTCACGCAGCTTGAAAAAAGTGGTCTTAAAAATTATGAATCACGATAGAATGTCAGCAAAATGTTCCTGCGTTTTCACCCTGAAATAAATTACGGAAATTTTTCGATACATTAAAAATCAAAATCAATGATATCGGGATCATGTTCGCTTCTAGTTAATTCATGAATACGAATTGAGATTCATAGAAATTGTTGAGATCGTACAAGTATTACTAACTTCGTTCAAGGAAGAGTAACTTCGCTACAAGTGCTGCTAACGGGTCACCTGCCGAAGACCACCATTGTCCTGGATGTAATGGTATGGACAATCATCATATAGGCAGCCGAAAGCCACCAGACAGAACTAATCAATTGAATTAGATCGTCCGCCGTTCCCATAGTGTAAACAGGCCTTAAGCCCCTTTCACACAGGGCAGTAAATACTGCCAGCGTCTGACGGTATTTACCGCCGAACCTTAGCGGACATACGAAATGTGCACTGCTGTTCACACACGACTGCTTTTACCGCGGCGTAGAATTTGTCGCCTGGCACCCGCGTGTGTCGCGCTAAAACTGCGGCGGTAGATTTGCCGCGACAGTTTAGCTTGCAATGGTATTCAATGTAATCTTTCACACTGGGCGGTTTTTGACGCCACATCCTAGCAGACAGTGGGGCCGTATTTTAGGTGCATAATAAACGACACTGCAAGACTGATAGATTATAGACCGATATTGTTACATAAATATCGGTACATAAATATTGTTACATAAACATAAAGATATTTCCTTGAAGTGATAGAGATATATTTCATAAAAGATATATTTTCCATAAAATATATAGGTATTTCTATATAGAGATGTATTTACATTATTCTCACATAGAGATATATTTCCATATAGAAATATTGTTACATAAACTTAGAGATGGACTGATGGTGCATAAAGCACTGCAAGACCGATAGATCCCAGCGGTAAAAACCGCCTCGTGTGAAAGATTGCGCGGTAAATACTGCCGCGGCATTTTTGACGCGCGCGGTATTTGTCGCCCTGTGTGAAAGCTGCTTTAGTCCAAAAATTAAGGTCCAAGCGTTACAAAGAGGTACGTTGTACCCGATCGACTGGACATGAAAAAGATTAAGTACCAAGTTAATTGGGAAACCGAATGAAATTTAAAATATTGACAGTTCGTACTGTTGGTGTTGAGGGAGGCTTTTACGACGACCTCTAAATCCATAGATGTAATTGAAATTTTTTATATAAATATTTCAAACAAGAGCATTCAAATAACATTTATTTATTTCACTCATTATTTATATTTATTTACCTGAGATCTACCTGGACTGAGAGATAAGTGGTGACTCAGAAGTGGTGGCCTATAAGGAAGTGTCGGCTCAGAGGTAAGTGGTGGCTCAGAAGAGAGTGGTGGCTCAGAAGGAAGTGGTGGCTCAGCAGAGAGTTGTGGCTCAGAGGAAAGTGGCGGCTCAGAAGGGAGTGGTGACTCAGAAGGAGTGGTTACTCAGAAGATCGTGGAGACTCTGGAGGAATTATCTATTCCACGATGCGCTCCCTATAAGACTAGTTGTCTTCGAGCACTCCCGACACTGACGGCTTTTCCCCCACCATTCCGTTGGATTCTTCCGCCAAATACTACGAAAGTTCATTGAGATTGCCATAAATTTCCTGTTGCTGCCTGTCAAAATTATCGTTCATGATATCGTCGTCACTCTCCAGATTATCCAGGATGTCCAACGCTGTTGTCGACGCTGCCAGCATGTCCAGGATTTCGACGCTGCCGAGACACTCATAAACTTCGTCTATGAGAGGGTAACGTTAGTGTGGCAGGGACTGACAGGACGATGCCGAAGTTTGGGCATCTGCCATCGCCACCAGATGAATAGTCGACAACTGAATATGCTGGCTAACGAGAATATCTACCGGCGGAGACATCATAATTTGCTCCGCACTTGGCTACCTCTCACGTCAGAAGGACTCCAACTACACACTGAAGGATTCTAACTATCGACGTGCACCCGTGCTCAGATATTCACCCGATATGCTAGCGATAACCAGTTATTATAGAGTCTTGAACCTACTTGAATAATTTTAAAAAATGAACTCAACTTTCTAAAGGCCCGTTTACACTAGGGACAACATGGGCGGTGATGCGCTTGCTGCAGCGCTTCACCGCCCACAACCGTTAACACTTATTTTTGTAAGCGGTAGCTCGAGACCGCTGACCGCGCGCTTCGAAGACTAGTTGCCTGTAGACGTCCGTGAGGATGGATGTCTCCCAATTTGAGCTCTGGGCCATTGTTCTCGGGTGTGCTGCTATTAAGAAAAGATGTAGGCCTCACCGTATTTGGGTGAAAAATGGTTGCAAAGAAGAGAGGGGACTCACACAATTACATTTTTAAAGAATTATCAGTTGCGAATGCATCAGACTTTCAAAATTATACTAGACTGCCAGTGGACTTGTTTGACAGTCTGCTGGAGAAAAAATGCCCCCCGTCTAGAAGGAGGATGATGGAATTGAGATGGAATTCATATGCAATGGAATTCATTTGTAATGAAATTCATATCACGATGGAATTGCGAACGCAACGTATGAATTTTCTAGCGAACTTCATCAATAGTGACTTGTACACAAAAGTTTCTTAAAACTTAAATTATTTTCACCAGAGCTTGTTCTTTTGCATTTCGACTTTTATACTCTTTTGACTAAACTCTTTAAAGACATTCATGGTCTTTACAAAGATCAATTAGCCTCTACTAGAAAGTGAGTCCAAAAAAGTGTGGCGGTAGATGCCATAGTGAAGGACCAGCGTATACAGACAACCTCGCTAGACCACGGACAGCCGTCCACTGAGTGCAGCGCTTGTGTTGCCTTGCATGAGGCAGGGCGACTGGGGTCTGGGAATCGCTGGCTCATCAATCGCTTCGTTGCCCACAAGAAACGCACGTAGACGCAGCAGAGAGGGGCTGTGAGGCCCTCGACGCTCGGTATTGCCCCTAGTGTAAACGGGCCTTAAAACGCGCGCACCACGGCCTGGATTTTTTGCTGGGATCGCTTCCCCATTGTCCGCCTGCACAACGCCTGCGATGAATGTCTGCTTCTGAACTCCAGAACTATTTCAACAGAACTTACGCTTCGTCAAATTACATCTGCCACTCGAGCGGAAATTTTTCTCTGACTACAACAGTGGGTAAGTTTTAGCCCTCAAAGCTAAGTCCAAATTGCTTTTCCATGCCCAAGTTTGTGGAAAGTTCGAAGCCCACAGAATGCCAAGAATGGCATTACTTCACTAAGATGGTTCGTCGCATCTTCCTCCTCTTAGCGAGATAAACGTATGAGGTTTTATCGTTGATCGATCCAGGTAGACTTTTCAAGGCTGAACACGTAAACAAAAATTATATAGACCGCATGCAAATAATGCGAAGAAATATAACTTTTACACGTTGCTGTTCACTTAGTATACGCGTTTTATAAAATTTTTGCTATTTTTAAATGTTTCTCAGTTATCGGAATGTCAGACGATACACTATCCGCCTCCTTACCCTAGT